AGAGGCTCAGGGACAGACACTCAGGACCTTCTGACAGGACCCAGGGGCTTTAATGCTGCACCAGGACACGGTCCCTGTCCGGAGAGCAGGACAGAACTACAGAGAGGGCAAGGGAGGTGGGGTCCAGCAGAGGAGGGCTGGGTGCAGGGCAGGGAAGACGGCCACGCTCTACAAAGCTGCTGTAACTCTCCGCCCGGACCACACACTGCTCGATGGGCACCGCCCCGGCATCTTCAGAGCCAAACACGCCATCTGGCACACAGGTGTTCAGTTAGCATTTGCTGAGTAAAGGGTAACTATTCATTATAACCAAATGAACACTGGCTAAAGTGGAACTGAACCAATTTGTCAATAAAAGCCTTTACTACGTTTTTCCCTAATTCCTTTCCTCCAAAGAGGATTCACTTTGCTTGAAGAAGTAAGAGACTTTAAAAATATAACAATTAAATATTTTTATTTCAAATAATATAATTAAGTATTATTTATCTTATTTTCAGTTTTCTATGATATCCCAATATGAAAACAGAACTGTCATTACTTAAGAGATTTACCACTGGAATTCTAAAGTATCTCTTTTCTAGTCCTCTTTTCCGTTAGGGTGTCCTTTAATGCAGTGGTGACAGCGAGAGCGGCACAGAAAGTACTATTTTCTACTCACGTCCACAACTTCGCAAGGGCAGGACTTGAAGCTAGCAGCCAGCAGACAGCCTGGGCATGGAGGTGGCTGGGACCCACATGGCCAGCTGCACCATTTGAGCCCTGACCCTGGCAGCATACAAACGCAAGGGGCCCATGTCACACATCTGTGTGCATGCACACCCAAGACCCCAGGAGAAGGGGGGAAGCAGCACCTGCAGGACTTTCTCACTTTCCTGCGATCTCTGTCTCTGGCCAGTGCATGCGCCCTATCGTAACAATTTCAAAAAGCATAAAGAAAGCCAAATTTGAAATGAAATGGAGAAAAAGTAATCAGCATCAACACACTAGACTAAAATACTGGTGTATTTTAAATTCCATTTCAGATAGTCCAGAGAATTCCAATGCACTCTGTTGTTAACTGAACAAAGTAACGACAAAAAACCAGGCTGCTCAAGGAGAGAGCGGCAGGACACTTTCAACGGGGAGCCTCACTTTCAAAATTCAATCCCATATCAATGCAATGGGACATAACAGTAAAAGGATCCATTAGATAGCAATACAAAAAGCTTTTATAAAATACTAACAATACTACAAAGAACTTACTATTGAAAATTACTACAGAATTTTGACTAAACTTTCTTAAAATACATATAGACATTTTTAGAAGTCTGAAAGGGAACACACTACAATATTAATAACAATTTTATCCTCCTTCTATTTTCTCATCTTTCTACACTGAATCTATTTTTAGGAGTCCTAAAAATTATGTATAATAACACTCTAAGTATTCTAGCCTAGTATCTGATGACATAGCAAATTCTACATTGCTGGACAATCATTGTATATAGTCACCATATCAAACAATTCTGTAGTAATATTATTTGTGGTTTGGGGTCAAGTTCTGGCTATGACCAGTAAATCTGGTATATGCATGTAAAATATGTCTTTTTTGAAGTAGAAATAGTAGTATTAATAATACTAGAAAACGAATTGGCCCAAAGACTAACCTTTGAAATATGGATAGGAAAGGAAATTATATTAAAGATTTGAATAGATGCCAGATGGTGATGGAGCAGTAAAGAGTGGCGGATGTATATGGGAGGTTCTAGGTCTGCACCCAGAGAACTCGCTGGGAATGCCTGGCGCACTCTGTCCGCAGTCCAGGGCTGGCTGGGGCTGGGCATGGGTCCTGTCCTCATACCCTACTGGGATGCTGTGTTTCTGTCTCTTGCTCATGAGACAAAGTACCGAGTAAACTGTTCAAAAATTATGTAATATTTTAGAAAAAAAGAAATAATGTAGAAAGTAACAAGAAAAACACCATTCTTTAAAACTAAAATAAATTAAAAAAAATAAAAATGTAAACTAAAATAAATATAGTTATTTCCTTTAAGAAAAAAAATCTATTTGCTAAAATACAATGTTTCAGCTAAGACAAAAACTCAACTAAACAGTTCCATCCAAAATCTCCTAAACTGCTCGTCAAGGACTGTCACTGAAAACTATTTTCATAAACCTTCATGTGTAAGTCTTCGTCTCTACTTCCACATCTGTTTAAAATTTAGAGAGCGAGCTGAAGATCCCCAAAATAAGAGGCCAACAGTCTTAGAGCTGATGAGAGTTTGTTGCAGTCCTTAGCAGATTAGCTTCAGACGTGAACAGCAGCAAACATCTTAATCCCTGCTCACTGGTAAGTGAATAAGCCACGCTGACTGCACCACAGAGGCAGGAACTCTGGCGGGAAGGGTGCGAACATTGGCTGCTCAGTCTCCCGAAGCACAGCTGCCTTCATGCAGACGCTGGGTGTGTCAGGGTCCACCCCACAGGTCTTCACCAAGATGGGCGGTTTGCTTCTTTTGGGTGTTCATAGCAAACAAAGGCGAGTTGCAAGAAACGGATGGCATTCTTCTGAGCAACACAAGCATGTCCTGTCGCACTAGGTCTCATCATCCTGCTACATTCTTTCTTTCTTTCTTTTTAGACGTTTTGTCTTAAGATGTATAAGCTCACCAGAGAGAGAGAGACAGAGACAGTGAGAATCACCCCCCACGGGGGATGATCATGCCATGGTCCCTTCTCCTCCCTTGTCCTCCCGAGATCTTGGGCATACACGCACATGTACCTGGCACGATTTTCAAGGTATAGGACTCTAACTGCAGTTGCCATGTGGGAGTTCAGCGATGTAACCATTACGTCATCTGCTGGCCCCCTTCCTACATTATTAAAAACTTAAATGCCTCAATTTAAAATCTTCCTTTACTCTCTCGTTCCCTATCAATTTCAAAACTGAAATACCTGACACTGTTTCTACCCTCTAAAACCCAAGTGCAACTAGAATTAATTTTAGTTGTCCAACCTTTTAATAAAATATTAATAGAAAATGGCATTTTAATTTCAAGTAACTTCATGAATATCTCAGTTCTTATACCTACTAAGCTTCTTTTGTTTAATGAGCCAATCAACAGAAAATAAGCAAGATTACAGGAAGTTGGAGAATACCTAAATTTATGCATTGGCACAGGATTTTAAGCGTTTTATAAAAGGACACAAGGAAAAACTGACTATCTGTAATTAGCAAAACAAGAGAGAAGAAAGGAGAGGTAAAAGAGGGTGTGGTTCTTACCGATCTTGTAAATATAACTTCTTAATTACTCATTTTTGCTCATTCAATTTTTTCTTCCAAATCAATATTTTTTCATTTATAGTTATATCCTAAGCAGAAGAGGAACTCCCTCTACATTTATATTTTAAATATCATTTAGTAAGATCAAAATGATTAGCATTCAAAAACTGGGCAAAATACACTCAGAGCAGCTGCATCTGAGACCATCAGTAACCCCTCTGAGGAGGGCAGAAGGTGAGGACACGCGCGTGCCACAGAGGCAGCACAGGGGCCAGCAGCGGAAAGACCACCCACACTGTGCGGGGCAATGCAGGAAGTCTGTTTCACAACGACAGCCAAGCGCTAGAGTTAATCCAAGCTTTTTTATCATCTGATTCGATTAGAAACAGAAAGAGTAAGTCCGAAACAAAACTCTAAATATTTCCTCATGACTTAAGTTGCTATTTTCTTGCAAGTAACAGAATGGATCCCAATTATATTTCTCTAAAAGTAAGAAAAGAATCAGATTAGACCAGGCTTCTATTAAGCTCCTATTCCTGTGACAAAACACCAAAAAATATAGTATTAGGAAACAGAATTTGAGATGATACCTTCTTAGCAACTCTGCAAACCACAAAAAACAATTTAAATATAAACCATGAGAACTTCCTTCTGTCCTCGAAGACACTACATTACACACTATGAAACTACCATGTGAAACTTCTACAGGTAACTTTTCAGGCAACCAAACTGTTACAGGATAAATTTCAAAGACAGTATCAAACATTCCAAATAAATCAAGTTATTCTTAAAAGGTAACTAACAGATCAGAACGCAAAACTGGCTTGCCAATTTTGGCAAAAAAAATTTTTTTGGAGAGTTTCTGCTATAGGGCACGTGCGCTCGCCAGAAAGAGAGAAACAGAGAGACAGAAAGCGAGAAATCACCCCCCAAGGGGGATGGCCACGCTGCAATCCATTCTCCTCCTGGGATCTTGGGCATGCACACACATGCGCCCGGCGTGAGTTTTCAGCCATCGGGTCCAGGACGCAAACCGCATTTGACTACATGGGAGTCCAGCAACAAAGCCATTAAGCTAACTGCTGGTCCCAACACAACATTTCTTTACATAATTCAAAGAACATGAAGTCCCTGAGCACAAGCTGAACTGCCTTCAGGTGGAGCAGTCCCCAGGCATATTCTATTTTGGTCAAGTGGCCCCGCTCACCGTCTTTCGAACATACGATCAATTCCGAAGGCTTCTGAAGAAGGGTGCAATGCACAGCTGTTCTGGTGATGAGAAGATGAGGCCTTCTCGAAAAGGCTGTGCTGCCTAGAAAACCCACCTTCTAAATCCTGCCTCCAGAAGGAGAGGAAGAGACTCGGAAAACCCACAGAAGAGACAGCTTGGCGCTGGGCGGCCTGGAAACCGCCTGGTAGATGTCGAGACTCACATCTCCTGGCTCTTTTCAGGAGATTTTTCTGTCATTTCATCAATACTGCTTTCTCTATTAATCTACAGGTATTACATACAATTCAATGGTATAGGCCTCAGTTCAGTAGAAACTAAGGCTATCTTCTAGGTACTGGAGACATTAAGAGAGACACCACCAAGTGAGGTGTTCACGTGTAGAACTGCAAGTGTTTTATACTATGACCTCACTTAGAGGATGGACAAGTCCGGGACTCGATCAAGTTTTAGAAGAGAAGTATTTCGGGAGTGTTTCAGGTAATAAGCACTAGCTAAAACTCAAGTTACCTCACATTCCATCCGCAGTAATGGACCAAGTAAAGGACCTCTCCACCTTCGACATCAGAATCTTTAATACTAGCTTCATACGTTTTTTGATTTTTCCCTCGTCCATACCGCACTTGGACTTTCATGCCTGGTGGATAGCACTCAAACTCCTCTTCCTCATTGTCGTCATCGTCATCTTCATCCTCTTCCTCCTCCTCCTCCTCCTCTTCTGCTTCTTCATCATCTTCATCTTCCTCTTTATTCGTTTCATCTCTTGAAAGGTTTAAAAAATTGCAGAGTTAATAAAAGACACTTCATAAGGTTTTCAGTTCCAAACCATATATATTGATAAAAATCGTGGCTGTGATTGCTCCGGGAACAGCAGGTTCCATGTGTATGGAATTCTCTCTCCGTTTCAATTTAACATTAAAAACTAGAACTGTAAAAGATGACCATGATTACAGAAAGATACATTCAGGAAAAAATGAAGATTTAAAAATAAGTGCATCAAAAGAAAATTTCCAACAGTCACAAGAACTGAAGGTATTCTCAACAAGAAACTGGTAAGATCAACTATAACAATTCTCTCAAGTTTCATTATAAAAATATTTCACATGTCAGTTGATAAAAAAAAAAAACCGTCAATATATTTTCTGGCCATTTTCCCATTTTCTGACTAAAGATTACTTTTCATTCAAATATTTTTCAGTCCCCGATGTTTAAAAGAAATCTTTTTACTAGCAAATGGCTAGTCTTAATAACTTTTAAACATCCTACTACAAAATTCTCAAAATGTACATTAGCAAAAATGTTATTTTAATATACACAGAAATATCCTATTAACATCATATCATTATTATACTAAGTTTGGTCTTGAGGTCCTCCACAATTTCTGTTCTCTGTACTGTACGTTTACTGAAAGTATTCTTCTACGAATCTCAACTGTGAGATTCCAGAGGAACAGTGATGGCCAGTATGGTGGTTAGGCCGCTGGGACTAATGGTCAACTGGATATTTGAGTCCTGGACCCTGCGGCTTGGAAAACATGCTGGGTGCGCTTAAGTGCATGCCCAAAGGGACTACAGCACGGTCAACCCTCTGTGGTTGGTCTCCCTCCCTTCCTAAAACTGAGCATTCATATCCTTTTTTTATTCCTTTTATTTTTTTGGAGAGGTTTTTGCTACAGCGCGTGTGCACTTGCCAGAAAGACAGAGAGAGACACAGAGATAGAAAGTTAGAAATCACCCCCCAGGGGGATTGGCCACGCCACAATCCCTTCTCCTCCCAGGATCTTGGGCATGTACGCACATGTGCCCAGCGTGAGTTTAAGCCACCGGGTCCCGGACTCGAACGCGGTAAACTACGTGGGAGTCCAGTGACATAGCTATTACATTAACTGCTAGTCCCTTCATATCCTTTTTATATTAGCCACAGATGTGTATTAAAAAAGATATCCAAAGTCTTCAATTATAAGTCTTTCAAAACACTAGATTTATAAACAATAAACTTTCAATATGAAATCCAAGATCATATTTAGTCATTTTTTATCTGCTCTGCAGTATATCTGAACTTATCACACAATTTTCTCTCAAAAAGAATCCAGCACTTTATAGTTGACAAATTAAAAAAATTTCTGCTGGGGCAGTGGATGACATGGTGATTAAGGCACTGGATTCCCACAGAGCCGACCACAGTTCAAGTACCGACCCTGGCCACTTGAGAATCACGCCAGGCAAGTGTGCATGTGCACCCAGATACCAGGAACATCACACTGGGCACGTGCGCATTTATGCCCAAGATCCCTGATGGAGAATGGAGAAGGGATTGCAGCCTGGCCACCCTGGGCTGAGGTGGGGGGGGAGGGTTCTCACTTTCTGTCTCTCTCTCTCTTTTGCACATGCCCAATGGCTACAAACAAAACGAAGAAAACCTTCCTCTACTGATTATTTGTTTTACATTATTATATACAAGTTTTTAGCGATAATTTCCTCTCATTCCTAATTATGTAATTATATAAACAATGGAAATAATCTATGAATAGTGATATAAACAGTACTGTAGTGGGTTTTGATTCTTTTTTTTTCGTATAGTACAGCGGGTGAGTTGGGGGAAAGCCAAGACTTATGGAGTTAAATCTGTGTTGACAAAGTATCAAATCATTCTGTCTGAAATTTATAACAAGGTTAACAAAGACTCAAGAATTATTCCAATTTTTTTTTAGAGGTTTTTGCCTTAGGGCATGGGCACTGGCTAGAGAGAAACAGTGACAATAAAGGGGAAAGTGAAAAACCACCCACAAAGAAGGATGCGGGCGTGGACATGCTATAATCCCTTCTCCATTCTCCTTCAGGGACCTTGGGCACGCATGCACACGCACCCAGTGTAAATTTCAAGCCACCAGGTCTGGGACTGGAACTACAATCAGCCATATAGGATTTAGCAATGTAACTGCTATGCCATCTGCTGGCCCCAAGAATTATTTCTATTTTAAAGACTGAGTTACAGTCAGATGAATAGATACTTAAAAACTAAAACCTAAACTGGGACTACCAGATGGTTTAATGATTATGTTGTTGGATCACATAGTCGATGGCAGTTCAAGTCCCGGACCCAGAAGCTTAAAACTCACACTGGGTACATGTGTGCACATGCCCAAAATCCCAAGAGGAAAATGGAAGAGAAGGTATTGCAGCATAGCCATCCCCTATGGGGAGTGATTTCTCACTTTCTGTCTCGCTGTCTCTCTCTGCCAAGTGCACGAGCCCTATAGCAAAAATCTCAACAACAACGACAGAAAAAAAAAGAAAAACTAAATAAACTAAACTAAAACCTAAATGAAACTAGCTATACTCTAAGAAATATTAATGCTGTTACTGAAATAACATATCAATAAAAAGCAAATCATTTTAGTGAGGATAAAATATCTATGAAATTGCCAGAAAAGGTTTTGAATAATTCTAAATGTTATGTTTATATAGTACATTTAAATAGTTACGAAATTCTTCTGGGGGCCAACAGGAGGCATGGTGGTTGGGGTACTGGACTACCACATGGCTCCAGTATGGACCAGTAGGCATGCTTTCTCCCTCCCTCCTTCCCGCTCCTGTGAGCACATATGCCCTATAGCAAAAATTAAAAAAAAAATACAATAATGATAAATAACATTAAAATATTTTATTAAAATAAATTCTTTTGAAGGAATACTACTTGTTTGTCAGAAGATTATACATCCTTGCATATCAGGAAGAAGGAAGTGTGTGCTGGTTGGCTACAACGAAAGAAGAGATTTATCACACACCATCATATGACCCAGGAAATAACAAATTTTTAAATCTCCATTTTTAAAATTGAAAAATTCTAAGATGTATCTTACATAATATATTAGGTTGCCAAAAAAGTCATGATACGATTTTGCATAGAAAAATATAGGAAATACTTATGACTCTTCTGAGAGCCCAATAGTACACTAAGTCTAACTGGTAATGAACAACGGCGATCGCGATCTTACATTCTGTGGTAGCCAGGGCACATATTTACTTAGTATACAGTAAAAACTTCATACTTTGTGTTAACAAAACAAAGCCATCAAAAATGAAAAACAAAAAATTCAATGTCAACCTCAGACACAAACCAAATTAAATTCACTTAAGTAATACCCTGAGGTTTAAAAAAGCAAACCACCTTAATTAGTGGCAGTCAGTCAAAGAAAACCACTGTGCTGTTTTCTTGCTAAGAATTCAGTGGCAGCTTTGGAGGGTAATGTAGTAAACCAGATGGAACCAAACAGGCCAAGAAGACAGCCTCTGAGAGTATGAAACACAGCCAACACGGAAGTTAAAGAAGTAAGTGGGTGACATATGACAGAGCTGCGCGAAATACATACGCAGTGAAGTTGGTCGTCTCTTAGAGAAGACGGAGAAACCTAGCATGATGACAAGAGTTTTTCACATGAATTCACAAAGAAATGCCCAATCCTCCCAGTTTGCAGTTACACTCCTTCCAATAAAACAAATATAAAAAGAAAAAGCACCAGCTCGTTGAGTCTCTACTATGAGCCAGACCCTGAACCACGCACATGGTGTGTATTAACTTCTTCAATCTCCACACCTGGACTGTGGAGGAAGGGTAGTGAAAATTCTTGGTAGTAACCAATTACTTAAAATAAATTTACATAATAGAAAAATACCTATATAATATGTAGCTGTAAGAATTTCTGTTTTACTGGGGCCAGCAGTTAGCATAATGGCTATGTCACTGGACTCCCATGTAGTCAACCACGGTTCGTGTCCTGGACCCAGTGGCTCAAACTCACGCCGGGCGTGTGTGCGTGCGTGCCCAAGATCCCGAGAAGAGAATGGAGGAGAAGGGATTGCGGCGTGGCCATCCCCCCTGGGGGGTGATTTCTCACTTTCTGTCTTTCTGTCTGTCTCTCTGTCTGGCGAGCACACACGCCCGATAGCAAAAACCTCTCAAAAAAAAAAAAAAAAAAGGAATTTCTGTTTTACTGACATCTTTAAAAACTCTCAGAAATTAATTATAGGCATTCCCAACATGTCATCTATAGGACATTCACCAAATTAGGGCAGTCATGTTAGGAGAACATTCATTCATGGTATAAATATATTTATGAATATGTATGATACATAGAAAGGCATATAAGGGGACGTCAAAAAGCTTGTGAAAAGATGGAATTAAAGTACAAGTTTATTTAGGTGCACAACAAAAAAATTTTACATCCATGCAGTTCTTTTGTGCATTTTCCATGAACATACTGAAGATCCCCCCATATAACTCACGAAACAGAGTTAACTATTAATAAAAACCTACAAATGAACAGAAGTGTCAGCTTGATATATCAGGATAATTATCAGTAGCAAAGAAAAACTACAGACTTCTTACAATGCCTTGCAAATAATGGATGTTCTGTAAACATCTGTAAATTTAAACTCAGATGTTTTGACGAACAGCTAAATCTTTTACCAAGTTTCTTATTAGTCGAAATAGTCTCTAGAAGGAAGAGTAATTTAAATGCACATTTACACACACGACAAAGTATAATCACCAAATGTTTTTACTCTTACCACCTAAACCCAGCATATTTTTTCTTCCATGTCTGCCTGCATGCTGCCACCAAAATTTCAGAAGCAGTCCGTATGATCGAGAAATCTCAGGCAAGTTTAACCTTGTAGCCTCTTCATAGCAGAGCGCAGGTGTGGGCATGTGAGAAAGAAGAGCGGCACAGCCACCGGGGTCTGGTGGTCACACCGGAACCCCCCCCTGCAGTCCTCCAGCCCGTCCACTCTACAGCCACCGGGGTCTGGTGGTCACACCGGAACCCCTCCCTCCAGTCCTCCAGCCTGTCCATTCTCAGGTTCTCTGGCCTATGCCCCACGTGGACCATACTGACTGAGCCAGACATTCTGCCCAGAGCTGCGATGGAGTGTGGTAAGTAGCGTGTTACCACTACCCCATAGTTTTGACACAAAAAGCCAGCACAGGGCACTTAGTATTAGGTCGAGAAAGTCATGAGTGTTTTTCTATGTTTTTCTATGCAAAAATGCATCATGACTTTCCCAATGACCGAATATATGTACTTGTACACACAGAAATATAACAACATAACATAAACACACACCTTTTTCGATATAAACTGTAGTCCAGTTTGTTCTTCCCTACTTATCTGCATGTCATAGCTAAATTTCAGAATACTAAAACACACATTTCAGTTATGTTTATTTAAATGAACCACTAAGAACAGAGATGTTTATTTTCTAAGCCTCAGAATTAAGATTAACTGTTAAAAATTATCTATAAAATAGAGGGCCCACAAGCAGTGTTTGAATTACATTTAAATAACTCATTCCGGAGTAACCCAAACAAGAAACTGTTAGAAACGCACAGAACATGGCATAACAATTTTGGCCTTTTTAAAATTTAGTATAAGTAGTTCTCCACTCTTATTTTCTGCTTTAGAAATAAATACGACTCTCAGAATTGATAGCCAGCACCCCATCTGCAAAGCACTGAAAGGGAGAGCTCCGAGTCCACTCTGCAAGCAGCAGGACACAGCACAGAAGGCAGCACTATTAGCTGGAGAGAAACATGCTCTCGAGCTGAGACCTGACCGATTTCCATGATGAGAGCAAGGAGAATGGGTCAAAGCACGATCCCTTCCCACAGATCTACATTAGGAGGGTCTCTGAAGGAAGAAATGCTATTTACTTAATAATGTGAATCATTCTACTATCCAGCATTTTACTAGTAATTTAGATTCATTCATACATACACGCATACAAAGAGCAAAGAATTCATCTAATCAAAATGCATCATAACCAGAAACATGTTTCTTACCCAGATTTTGCTTTCTCTTCTTCAGCTTCTACCTTTATATTGAGAGACTCATCTTCTCTAGTCGTATCATCATCTTTATCTTCCAAATTTTCATTTTCTCCTGGTTTTTTAATGTTGGTTTCTTTTTGTTGATTGGACTGAGTAGATGCAGATTCTAGTAAGTTCTTTTTACCTCCCTAGAAAAAGATCAGAGGAACTAAGCCAACAAAAGTAACAATGTCCAACCTAAATCCATGATCTTTTAGTAGTTGTTACTAATACAGGCGATGTTATCAATTACTTCTAAAAAAAACTGCTGTTCTCCAAACAGTAGACAAGATAGCTAACAGCTACTATCACAGCTAAAATTATGCAACAGCAACACTTAATGTGAGACTTGTGTAAATCATAAAATATCGTATTATACAATAAATTAATTTGGTAAATTTACAGAGGATATATAGAAAATACACTAAAGAAAGTAAAGAGCAATTAATAATTTACCAGAGAGGGTTTAATATTTTCTTTTCTCTCAGTCTCATCTTCAATAGGCTTTTCTTCTTTTGGCATTACATTCCTTTCCTCTTCCATCTTTATTTCTTTGATCTCTGTTTCATTTTCTTCCTTAATTTTTATTTCTTTTACATTTTCACAGTCCTTACATGGCTTACTAACAACTTTCTCTGGCAATGCCATCTGAAACTCAATATTAGCTGACCTACAGTACTCTTCAAAACCATACAAGTACCTGGAAATATTAAGAGAAATTACATTTGGTGACAACATTTCAAAATGCTACTGCACAGTTTAAATGTGTGTCATTTCTTTTAAGCGCTGAGATACTGAGCCGTATGCATTGACATTCTAATTTGTTCTAGTTAATTCTTTAAGTAGTACTTTTCAAGCCAAATAGAAAATTCTGTCAAAAAATAAAAAAAATCATTTCTGACAAAAAAAAAAAAAACAAACTCTGATAAAGAGTGAAATGACAGTCTTCTTAAGGTGGTGCAAAAGTGACTCCAGTTTTACACTGTTGAAATTTGTCATTTGATATTGTATACACTCTTTTTTTTTTTTTTTTGGAGAGGTTTCTGCTATAGGGCGTGTGCGCTCGCCAGACAGAGAAACAGACAGAGAGACAGAAAGCGAGAAATCACCCCCCAGGGGTGATGGTCACACCACAATCCCTCCTCCTCCATTCTCCTCTCGGGATCTTGAGCACGCATGCACACGCGCCCGGCGTGAGTTTTAAGCCAGCGGGTCCGGGACGCGAACCGCAGTCGACTACGTGGGAGTTCAGCGACACAGCCATTACGCTAACTGCTGGTTCCCAATATTGTATACACTCTTAAATGCAATCATGTTATACATCGTTTTAAGGCACAGTTCTCACTTTTTGTTTTATTGCTAATGACTTATTACCTGCTGTTTATTTTATATGTGTTTTAGACTATGAACATGATGTTAGAGAACAAACTGGAGCAATTTTCTTATTCGAGAGTTCAAGCTAGGTCGTCACGCTGCAGAGATCACGCACAACACCCGCAGCACAGTTGGCCCCGGAACTGCTGACGAGCGCGCAGGGGAGCTGGTCCCAGAAGTCGGCGAAAGAGACAAGAGCCTCAAAGACGAGGACAAGGAGCACAGCAGCCAGCCCTCAGAGGCTGACAAACATCAACGGAGAGCAATCAAGGAAGCTGATGCTCTTAACAGCTCCACGAGAAGTGGCTGAAGAGCTCCAAGACAGCCATTCTACAATCAGTCATTCAGCATTTGAAGCACATTGGAAAGATGAAAAAGGGGCTCATAGGTGGTGTAGTGGTTAAGCCACTAGACTCCAATGTGGTCGACTGCAGTTCGAGTCCCAGACCTGGCGACTTGAAAGTCATACATGGTGTGTGTGCTGTGTGCCCCAAATCCAGAGAGGAGACTGGAGGAGAAGGATCTCCAGTGTGGCCACTCCCCCTGGGGGTGATTTCTCACTTTCTGTCTCCCTGGCAAGCACATGTGCTCTATAGCAAAAAAAATCTCTCTCTCTCAAAAAACAAAAAAAAAAAAAAAAAAAAAAAAAGAAAGTTGAAAAAGCTCATTAATTGTGTGCCTCATGAGCTGACCAAAAATCAAAAAGCTCATCCTTCTGAAAAGTCGTTCTTCTCTTATTCTATGCAACAATGACAAACCATTTCTTGATCAGACTGTGACATACAACGGAAAATGAACTTCACAGAACAAGTGGTGACAACCAGCTTAGGGGCTGGACTGAGAAGAAGCTTCAAAGCAGTTTCCAAAGACAAACTTGAAACAAACAAAGGGCGCGGTTACTGTGGGGTAATTTCCAGCTCTCTGTCTCCTGGTGAGCATACATGCCCTATAGCAAAAATCTCTCTCAAAAAGAGAGAGAGGGGAACCAGCAGTTAGCGTAATGGCTATGTCGCTGGACTCCCACGTAGTCGACCATGGTTCACGTCCTGGCCCCGGTGGTTAAAACTCACGCCGGGCGCGTGTGCGTGCGTGCCCAAGATCCCGAGAGGAGAATGGAGGAGAAGGGATTGCGGCGTGACCATCCCCCCTGGGGGGTGATTTCTCGCTTTCTGTCTCTATGTCTCTGTCTGTCTGGCGAGCGCACACGCCCTACAGTGAAAATCTCTCCAGAAAAAAAAAAAAAAGAGAGAGAGAGAGGTCAGTACCATCTCCTGGTTTCTTCTTCTAAGAAAGAATTAGCCCAAGAGACCTGGTAGGCCACACTCCGTTCTACGTGAAATACTAAGACACTCTATCAAGTATAGTAACTTACTTTTTATAGGCACATTTAACATTGTACCCTGCTGCTGAATTTAAGACAGGGATGCCAAGATCTTGGTAGACTTGTTTCCAAACAGCTCCACTTTCAATCTAAAAGACAAAGTAAAATGGAAACTTCCAAATTAAAAGATGAAAATGTAAGAACATTTAAATAGACATAATCTGTATAAATATATATCTTGGTTATAGTCTCAAAGAAATGAAACATATCAAATAATAAACTATAATTTCTAAATTTAGTTTACAAATAAAGTTTGAGTCCCCTAACAAATCTGATTTATAAATGTTGAAAAATGTGGATATCTGACTTTGAAATAAATTCAACTACAGTAAATATAAAAATGTGTACTGCTGGCTAGTGTCACGGTGGTTAAGGGAGCTGCATCCCACATGGCAAACTGCACAGTTCAAGTGCCAGACCTGACAGCTGGAAAAGTACACTGGGCATGAGTGCACGCATACCCAAAATTCCAAGAAGAGAATGGGGGGAAGAGACTGCAGAATGGCCAGCCCTCTGTGGGGTGCTTCCTCACTCCTTATCCCCACAACCTCAACTCTTTCCAGTAGGTACATGCACCCTATAGCAAATCATTTTTGTTGTCTTTTCTTTTAAATCCAGATTCCTAGCTCCAAATTTGAAACAAAGAGAAAGAGATAAAAATGTTCAAAGGACTTATAACTCCCACAAGCCACATAGTGGTGGGGTGGCTGCACTCTAGCTGCACTCTATCAGACAATGGAGGAGAAGGGACTGCAACATGGCTATGCTCCCTGGGGCGGTCATTTCTCACTTTCCCTCTTGGTGTCTATCTCTGTTTCTCCCCTGTGAGCACACGTGCCCTATGGCAAAAACCTTAAAAAAGGGGGGGGAGACAAAGAAAGGTGATTCCTACTCTCAAGAAGTACACAGGGGGAACATGGTGGAGTGAGAAAAAGGCGGAGAGAGGGCCTGCCACCAAAATAGCTGTGCGTGCCGTGGGTGTGTGTAAGGTGCTCAGTGATGGAGGGCTGACAGGCCCAACAGTGAATCAGAAACCTCACTTCAGAAAGTCTTTAAGCTGTGTCTGAGGGACTGGTTCTACGTGCCTAAACTATACTGGGCATTATCTTCTCCTCACAGTCTGAAGGTTTACTCACAGCCATCCTCTTAGAGATAGCAGCTGCCTGAGAACACATGTAGAAAACAGACATCTCACTCTCAGCTGAGATACTTACATTGTCAAACCCGCCAAGCTTGTGCACAAGTCTGAATAACTTAAAGAGATTCAAATTCCGATACCCCAGTACAGGTCGTTTATTAATAGGTGTACCTGTCACAGAAAACACAAGATGCATTAGAGTCATGTTACATTTTTTTTTAAACTTCAAAAGATTCAAATGCCACAGCTACTGAAGAGCTACTATCGTCTCTGTCAATTAAAAGGTCAGCACCTTGCTTCTCCCCCACTCAACCCCTATATTTCTTCCTTCTTTTTTTAATGGGCAGAGGGCACATGTGTTCACCAGAGAGAAAAAGAGAAAGCATCCCCCAATGGGGATTATGCACACCACAAGCACTTCTTCTCCACTTCCCCATCACCTTACAATCTGGGGCACGCACACATGACCCCAGTGTGTTTTTCTAGGTGCCAGCGCCAGGATTCACACTGTGGTTGGCCACATCCCATCCCCTTACCCCGCATCTTAGGGCCGGCCAACCCCTGCATTTCATCAGGCAGGCGCAGTAGGCTGAGTCAAAGCTCACCTCGCTATTGGCTCATTCCTTCCTCTTTCTGGCACTCCGTGGATGACTTCTCCTCTAAGCGCTATGTGGCTGGGCTGCGTGTGTCTCTCACACATGCACACACTAGGGACATCAAACAGTGACCGCTACAAAGGCCTCTGAGCAGATGTTAATAAATAATAATGGGATTCCCACTCTGCTATGGTTGAGTTTGGAAAGTTAAGATGCAGTTTTGCATAGAAAAGACGTGCAACAGCTTTTCTGACAACTCAGCATTTTCTAAGGGTTCTACGGAGGTCTCACGTAGGTAGGGGAACTGGCAGGACAGGACACAGGCATCTACATGCATGGACATCAAATCCATCAAATCCTATGAAGTTCCTCCTTCTGCTTACTATGTGACAGGCACTATGCTAGATTCTGGTGACACTGGAAGTGAAAACGAAAATGACAGCCATAATTATTGGTGCCAATCAAGCTTAACAAACAGAACTTTTCTCTTTTTTTAGAGGCAAGGTCTTGCTTTTTTATCCAGGCTGGCCTCCAACTCCTGGTTCTTCTACCTCATTCTCCTCAGTAGGTGGGAATATAGGTGCATGCCACCACATCTGGCTTCATGATTCTTATTTTTCAAGAAAAAGTCAAGTCCCATGTTTGTGGTTCAAATCCCCAGCCTGGTATGCTTGGGATACACTGGCTCAAGATCCGACAGACTGGAGGACTGGAGGAAGGAGGTCATGGCGTGACAAGGCCCAGTGGAATGTGCTCATCTCTCACTCTGTCTCTCTCTCAGGCAAGCATATTCTGACATGAAGAAAAAATTATGTTTAATTATCTGAAATCTACAATATAAAGGCTAAATAAAAGAGACAACTCACCTCTATCTTCCATAAATTTGTACAACTGCTGAAGAAAATTCTCCCTTTCTTCTGGAAATGGTTCTATTTCTTCCTAATTTTAGTAACAAAAGAAAAAAAAATTATTTTCCTCAATTAAACACTGTAATAACGTAAGCAAGATTTCCTATCACCTGTGATGACTAATGCTCATTATTTGAAATATTAAAATATTTCAAGATTTTTTAGCAAGTAAAAATTACTAACAATAAACTGCAAAACCAAGGAAGTATAGACATTTTATACTTTCAGAAGAATATGTCCTAAAAGGTGTTGCAATAGTTACAATCCCAAATGCAAATTCTTACATGGGAAATGAGAATAGCAAGGTTGTACGTGAGCATCTTACTCTACAGAGCTCTATCCTTAAATCAGTGTCACGGCTCAAGAAGACCTGCTCTCATTCATAGTAATTCAGGACAGGGTTAGCATCAAAGCTGACGCTGTCACTGCTCCTCAAGGGACTATGCAAATGCGGGACCCACGAGCTGTGAGGGTCCGTCTCCTCCATTACGTCCAGCCCACTGTGCAGCACTGCACGCTTATAGTCAGTAATGTGGGGAACAAACCTGATCTACAATAGCTGAAGATTCAGACTTAGGGAAATCTTCAAGTAATAAAATAGTTCCCCGACTTATCAATTACAAGGGAGGGACTAGCTTCTTGCTGCTGTGGCCAAGGGCTGTGGCAGTAGGGAGGAACTCACCAAGACCCAATGACCTTCATCCACTCAACAGACATTTAATGAGCACCTCTAAGTGTAGGCACTATGCTTGGTGCTGGATCAAATGAAAGAAAAAATGAGCTAAGGAGCCTCCCACACAGAATGTGAGTAGGAGTACCTGCAGAGGAAATGGCTCAAAATATATCACTAGGCTTTACAGTTCCTCTGTCTATAATATACATACTTCTAATGGTTATAAATTAGGATAGTCAACTGCTAATCTAAGTAAATCTAAAAATTCTTTAATGAAAAAAACAATGAGCTTGGGACCAACAGATGGCACAGTGGTTATATTGCTGGACTCCCATGTAGTCAACCATGGTTCGAGTCCTGAACCCAGCAACTTGAAACACACAAGGTGAATGTGCGTGTGTGCCCAAGATCCTGAGAGGAGAAAAGACGAGAAGGGATTGTGGTGTGGCCATCCCCTCGGGGGGTGGGGGGGTGACTTCTCACTTTCTATCCCTCTGTCTGTTCACTATGTTCCCACTGGAAAAGTCTCTCTTATTAAAAATACATACATACACACATAAAATAACCGTGAGCCTGTTAATGCCATTGTTCTAGTGACTTTACCCTCTTCTTGTAAAAGCTAGTGTATCAAAGGAAGGCAAATTTAAAAGCAAGTCCAAAAAATCTCTACCAATAACCAAGTTTGCTATAGGGTAAGGAAGAAAATATGACAACCATTAATTTGCATATGATAAATCTGTAGTCCTCAATTTACATATACTCAACATATGTCAGGTCTACGTAAGACAGTCAGGTACAAAACTAAGGAAATCTATTTTCTTGAAAGTATCTTAAATGTCCCCATTATATAGTATACTTAGCTTTAACAGATTTATTAAATTTATTCCTATTCCAGGAACCAGGAGTTGGCATAGTGGCTATGTCACTGGACTCCCATGTAGTCAACCATGGTTCAAGTCCCAGACCCGGCAGCTTAAACTCACGCCAGGCATGCGTGCGTGCGTGCCCAAGATCCCAAGAGGTGAATGGAGGAGAAGGGACTACGGCGTGGCTATCCTCCCTGGGGGGTGATTTCTTGCTTACTATCTCTCTGCCTGTCTCTGTCTTTCTGGAGAATGCACACACTCTATAGCAAAAAAAAAAATGAACACACACTATATAAAAAAAAAAAAAAAAAAAAATCATTCCTGTTCCAGAAATGTTTAAGTAAAGTTTGTATTTACCTTAAAAAAAATGATTAAAATGTATAGGTATGTGTCAGCTGTGCTAGCTATTGGATATATTTAGACTAATTAAGTTCATTGGCAGATCAATTGAATGGGGGGGAAGGCATGGAGGGCAACCGTGGATGCCAGCAACAATGTGGGAGGAGGATGGGACATGGCAGAGGGTGGGGGATGGGGAATCAAGGATGGCAAAACAAAAGGCAAGGTATGCAGGACATAAGAATTGGAAAATTATTTGCTGAGAACATGTATGTTGATGTGCTTGATTTAGCCAATACACAGTGTATTTCGGATGGAAAATTCATTGGTGTGTTGTGATGGTGTATAGTGAATTAATGTAGAGAATGAATAAATTTTTTTTAAAAAGGTAAAAAAAAAAAAAAAGGGAGAGTTCAGGAAGGGAAATTTGGGAAAATAAGGAGAAGTAAGACATCTGAATTACACAGATGTGGTTTGATGCTTGTTGGTGATGATGTGTATAGTAGTATCAACTCGTCTGCTCTGTGGCATATATCATGTCAGCTAGACTCTCTTTACAAACTAAATGATGTATAATGACTGAATGTATACAAATAATAAATACTAAAAATATGAAAAAAAAAATGATTAAAGTAGGGAACCAGCAGTTAGCGTAATGGCTATGTCACTGGACTCCCACGTAGTCGACTGCAGTTCACGTCCCGGACCCAGTGGCTTAAAACTCACGCCAGGCGCGTGTGCGTGTGTGCCCAAGATCCCGAGAGGAGAATGGAGGAGAAGGGACTGCGGCATGACCATCCCCTCTGGAGGGTGATTTCTCGCTTTCTGTCTCTCTGTCTCTCTCTCTGTCTGGAGAGCGCACGCGCCCTATAGCGGAAACCTCTCCAAAAAAAAAAAAAAATAGATTAAAGTAGAAATTAGATCTGTTTTTACAAAAATACTTGTTAAAAAACAAATCTAAGCAACAAAAGGTTTAGTAAGAAATATCTATTGATCGTTTACTGTATGTTCCTATGGCTGATACTGAGTATAAATTTAAGACAGGTTATCTATCTTTGAGAAACTCAGATTACTGAGGGGAAAAAAAGACAATAAATAAACAAATAAGCATAAAAACAAATAACTAGTGAAAATATTTACAAGAACACAGCAGTTTAGACTAACTTTCCAACAGTGAGGGAGGTAGCAGATCATGGAACGACTCCCTGTACAGAGCTGGCACACAGCAGCGTTCTGAAAACCATGCGAACATGTGCCAGGCGTGCTGGGAGAGGTACTGGTAGGTGCCAGGTAAGGTGATCTGATATTGCTACGGCATACAGTTCAAAGGCAGGGTCTATATTCAAGTATGACTTTTCAAGTGCCAATAAGCCACTCAGCAGGTTTTAAGCAAGGACTGATTGCTCCTTTTATATTTTAAATACAAAGCAGTCAGGGAGACTGAAGAGGAAACTTTTTACACTGCACATTGTCATTATAGATGATTACTATACCCTAAAATACAACCTCCAAAAAAACAGTTTCATTCATAGTTTATTACAGTGAACTTACTTAATATGTTACATAATAAAAATAAATTACCTTGGGACCAGCAGTTAGTGTAATGGCTATGTCACTGGACTCCCATGTAGTCGGCCGCGGTTCGAGTCCTAGACCCAGTGGCTTAAAACTCACACCAGGTGCATGGGCGTGTGTGCTCAAGATACCGAGAGGAGAATGGAGGAGAAGGGATTTCAGTGTGGCCATCCCCCCTGGGGGGTGATTTCTCGCATTCTGTCTCTCTCTGTCATTCTGGCGAGCACACACACCCTATAGCAAAAACCTCTCAAAAAAAAAAAAAATTATCTTAATTTCCTGAACACACTCATTATAATTCACTTGAGCCGTCTGATCCATGTGCACTCACAGGTGCCATATTTATCACCTAAAAATCTGTCCATTTGTAGTAGATAAAATGACTTTAGATTCTCTGAATCTGAGATACTGATCTTTTCTAATTTTTCCTTTAATGCTATATAAAAGATACATTTATACTTTCCTAGATATCTCAATAATAGGCAGATGTCAGCATTTCATGAGTTAGCAGCTGTCCACAAAGCAGTGAAAAGACTATGATGAACTTCAAAAACACATTCTTTTTAGTACTTCTGACACAGAGAACATGCACATGACTGCATGACAGACCCTCCCACAAGGGACACCCAGCCACTCCTTCTCTTCCAGGACGCACCGACCGTCCTCCTTTCTGCCTACCTCTTCTTCACTGCTGTTGTCCTCCTTCTCTTTTTCATCATCTTCCTCCTCTTCCTCTTCCTCAGCTTCACTGCTAGAGCTATCTTCTTTCAGCTCCGTCTTCCAGTTAGCAGGGACAGTTCTACTTTTGTGAAATTCAAGTGCCTGATCAAAGGCTGGATAGAGACCAGAGAAATTAAGACGACTGATTTGTCAAAAACTAGTTCACGAGATTAAGAACCGACTACTGTGCTCGTGCTGCTGACATGCACTAAGCACGTGCTGGCACCGGGGGCTGTGCTAGCCGCTCTTCTGGCAGTGCTTCATGCAACAGTGCCGGTCCTGCACATCATGAACCATTTTAGAGATGACAGAACTGCTGCCATTAGCAAGTTACTTAGGTCAAACAAATACAAGAGTAAAGTGTAGTTTTCTTCTCTAAAACATGAAGTTGTCTGGTACACTCAACATTAACACGGCAAATATTTATTACATTATCCAACAAGCATTTATCAATCAGCACTGCATATACCAGCACAGAGCCACTGGAAGAAATGCACGATAACTGAAAGTCACCTGCACGCATGTGCTCTATATGCAGTAAGCCTAAACTAATACTATGCGAAAAATCTGCTTAGTCTAAAATGAACTAGACACAATCATGTCCACTGTATCAAATGGGGAAACAGGTTATAAGTCATACAATTTTGATGATTTTAAGGCAGTCTATGTCATAGCTTAATATCGGATTCAATGAGTACTTCAATGCCAAAACCCAAGTAAGGAATGTAACAACAAATTCCTAAATCAAATGTAACTCCTGGAGCCTCTGGCCAGGGACAAGCGCTCGCCGGTGCGCATCAAGGACACTCTGACTCCTCTTTCTGTGGTCCCCAGGGGCTGGTCGTTTTCTTACTCAGCAAAGCCAGATGACAGCAGTAACTGACGGTACAGTTCTTCTGACTGTCCTAGACTCCCACGGCTGACTACAGCCTAAGACTGAAGAAGAAAACCTGCATGACCGAAGACATCGCGTCCACGAATGTGAAAGTCACACAGTCCAAATAACGTTAAGGAAAGGACTTTAGAAGACTATTTAACCTGGGATGGAGGCATGCACCTCCCATCCTAGCTCCTCAGGAGGCTGAGGCAGAGGATCATCGCGGAGGCCAGCCTGGCAGCACTGAGAGACCCTGGCTCACAAAATGTGTTTTTATAAAAAGCAAAAATCATCATCATCATCATCTTCTTCAAGAAGAGCACAGCAGCTTTCAAGTGGCCTGTCACTTATCCCACAGCACTCGCACCTTGTTTCAGTGTAGAATCAGGCTTTGGCGCAGCGTCGCTAGTAATTTCATGGACATCTTTTCTTGCAACTGAAGTACTGTATTATTATTTTTTTAATTATAAAAGAAGAAAACACAAAAATATGACAGAGGTTAATAGTCTGGTCAATTACATATCCCCCCAAAAAATCAAAACAAAACAAACCAAAAAACCCAAGAACTGACTTTAACGATGAGAATGACTGCACACAGGGTTTTACGCCCCAATACATGAGACAGGACATTAAAATATGCAATCATCTACAGGAGAACCATCCCTTAAGAGGTATTTTATAACCACTAATGTGTTCTCAAAAATCAGAGTGTCTGGCCTTAAAGGCAATACTAAAACTGCTGACAGCAATGAATAAAATGCAAAAAACAATACAAAAGAAGATAAATAGTAAGAATTTGTCATTGTCTGGGGATAATCATGAGAAACGCTTAGTTTCAGACTGAAAGAAAATCTAACAATTTACAATCTAAATATTCTTTATTCTTTAGAGAGAGATTTTTGCTATAGGGCACATGTGCTTGCCAGAGAGATAGAAAGAAAAAAAAAATCACCCCCGAGGCATGGCCGTGCAGCAATCCCTTCTCCTCCATTCTCCTCTTGGGATTTTGGGCACGCAGACACAGGTGCCCAGCCTGAGTTTCAAACCACAAGTTCTGGGACTCGAACCACAGTCAACCATATGAGAGTCCAACACCTTAACCACTATGTATCTTTGTAACTATGTTTCTCAATGAGCTTCTAGGCTCACAAGCAAACTTTCCAGATGCCACTGTAGGCCTTTCCAGGGACGCCCCAGCTATGAGCGATGAAGAGGGTCTGGTGGAAACGACGAGGACAGACAAGCCACATTAGTCACACTCTGAGCTCCTAACCTTACCCAGCTCCTATGCGTCTGGCTGGTGGCAGTACAACCACAAATGTCTGAAACTATTTCAAATACATCTGTCAGCCAGTCATTTTTAAAACTTTTTTAAAGAATTAATTATTTAATTTCATTTATTGTAATGATTACTTTTTAATTTGCTATAGGGCACGTGTGCTCACCAGAAACAGAGAAAGAGAAAGTGAGGAACCAAGTCACCACCAGGTCCAGGACAAATCACAGCTGGCCCTGTGGGAGCCGATGGCCCCAATCACCACACTACCTGCTGGCCGTAAATTCATGCTGAAAAATTCAATTACACACAAAAAATAGAACAGGAAACTGAAGCCCATGGACCCATCGCCCACTACAATAATCAAATGTCACTGTCACCGTTTCATTTATAGCCCTGCCTACTCCTCCCACCCTCACCGAGATTATCTGAAGACAACCCCAGACACTGTTATTAATGCCAGGTTTGGAGAAAGTTGTGACATACTGTTCTAAGCAGAAATGCACCACTCCTTTCCTAACAACCCAATAACTTAAACACTGCTTCACTAGGAAATCTTTGCAAGAAAATTAGTTTCAAAAAATATAACTTCAGCACACATCTAAAAGTCAGATATATGAACATTCTTTCAGTTTTATTGAGGGAAAAATAACAAATAAAATCAAAGCGTACAAGGCTGAGCCCACAGCACAGTTTAAGGAGGCCATGGAGGAAGCTGGATCCCACATGGCCAAGTGCCGCTGGAACCCTGGCCCTAACACATGCTAGGCCTGTGTGTGTGCGTGTGTACCCAGAACTCTGACGAGGTAAAGAAACGGACAGCAGGGCTGGGGCATGACACTCTACTAGCCGGTGCTCCCCCAAGCCCCTGCCACCTTGGTGGGCACACAGGCCTGCTGACAATGAAAACGTAGTACGTTGTAATAAAATGAATTCATTAGCGTTTAAAAACAAGTATATAACGGAGGGTTTACTATATGAATACACTGTGAGATGACTGCCAGAATTATGGTACATAGCTATCAGCTCGCAGATCCCCTGGGGGGACACACAAGCTCTCCTCTCCGCAAACTTCTGGTACATAATGCTGTGTGATTAACTACAGTGCCATGCTGTGCACTCCATCCTGAGAGCCTACTCTTCCCACAGCTGAAACTGTGGACCTGGTGACTCACACCTCAACATCTCCCCTAGCCCCAACAGTAATTTCTTAGTATCACCGAGGCAGTATTTAATTTCAGTGTTCAAATCTCTCCAATTAACTCGATTTCATTAAAGTTGGTTTTGTAAGTTCTTACTTGTTTGTTTTGGGTTTTTGTCATAGGGTACACATGCTCGCTAGAGAGATGGGGAGAGAGTGAGCACAAATCGCCCTTCAAGGAGGACCACACCATAGCCACTTCTCTTTCATTCTCCTCTTGGGATGATGGGCAGGCACGGACCAGCGCCCAGCGCGATTTTTAAGCCACTGGTTCCGTGGCTCAAACCCCAATCAGGCACGTGGGAGTCCAGCACCTTAACCACAGCACCTGCTGGCCCCATAGTCTGTCTTAAAATCACCTTTCAGGACTTGAGAACCCAAACAAGAACACACCCTGAAGACTATGTTAAGGAACATTTCAATAAAGTGTTAGATATGCGAGACAGTTCACGTTTGCCCCAGCACACTGCCAGCTAACAATACATGACCAAATGTTGACATAATAGCACTAAAGATCTAGTTTAGAAAAGGCTTGAATAAATACGGAAAGACCCACTGTGAGACTACTACGCTTGGGGCAAGCAGAAGACAAGGTGGTTAAGGTGCTAGGCTCCCACATGGCTAACCACGGTTTGAGTCCCAGACCTGGCAATGACTTATTTTCTCAACTTTTGTCTGTCTGTCTGTCTCTCTCTGGTAAGCACACATGCTCTGTAGAAAATAATGATAAATATAATTAAATAAATTAATTCTTTATAAAAAAGAATACTATACTTAAGAAAATGGGAAAGGGGTCACTTCAAAACAATCTGTATGAAAAAAATGAAAGCCTAAGGTCATTAGAAATAAATAGATACTATCATAACCTGGAAAAACAGCATATATTATAGATAGGCTTTCAAACCAGATAAAATTATACTTACAATTTGCCATCTTTGAAAGATCGAACAAGAATGTTGTCTTTTTTCACAGCAATCTCATCGCTACAATCAGGACACACCACCTTAAAAAAAAAAGTGAAAACTATTGTATCTAAAAGCACAGTGATGGGCAGTTACAGAAGTACCTACTACTGAGACTCTAGGGGCCAGGAGACGGTGTAAAGGTTACATCGCTGGATTTCCACATGACCGACTGCGGTTTGAGACACAGACCCAGAGGCTGAAACTCACGCTGGACATGTGTATGTGTACCCAAGATCCCTAGAGGAGAATGGAGAAGGGAATACTGCATAACCATCAACCCAGGGGGTGATTTCTCACTTTCTACTTCTCTGATGAGTGCATGCACTGTATAGAAAAAGTTATCTCTAGACTTTAAAAAAATAAGTTTGGGCCAGGAGAGGGCATGGCGGTTAAGGTGCTGGATTCCCATGTGGTTGACTGCAGTTCAAGTCCTAGACCCAGCGGGTTGAAACTCACGCCAGGCGAGTGTGCATGCTTGCCCATGGTCCCTGGAAGGGGATGGAGGGGAAAGGATAGCAGCCTGACCATCACCCCAGGGTGGGGGGGGGATTTCTCACTGTGTGTCTCTCAGGCAAATGTACACTCCCTGTAGCAAAAATATCTTGAAAAACACATTTAAAAAGTACTTTTACAGGTGCACACATGTAGCAACGCCCATAGAGACATCAGGTCAGCCTGCGTACCTCTAGCTCTCAAGAGCACCTAGCCAGCTGCGGGTACACTGGCACACATGCCACAAGGTGGGCAGGGGAGGGAGAGCCAGCTCGTGACCTGGGGCCTGCACTGTGCTAAGAGGACGACAAGAGTGCAGAACGGGGGAACCAGCAGTTAGCGTAATGGCTATGTCGCTGGACTCCCACGTAGTCGACCGTGGTTCGTGTCCCGGATCCAGTGGCTTAAAAAACTCACGCCGGGCGCGTGTGCGTGCGTGCCCAAGATCCCGAGAGGAGAATGGAGGAGAAGGGATTGCGGCGTGACCATCCCCCCGGGGGGTGATTTCTCGCTTTCTGTCTCTATGTCTCTCTCTGTCTGGCGAGCGCACGCGCCCTACAGTGAAAATCTCTCCAAAAAAAAAAAAAAAGAGTGCAGAACGGGCAGGAGTGGAGGCCTTGTTAGCTTTCAGGATGAAATCTGCACAGGAAGGTCCCTAACAGGAAATGCCATAACAGATCTATTACTACTTTTTAAATTTAATCTGTTATAGAGCATGTGCTCTCAGACGAGAGAGATAGGAGAAAGACAAAGAAAGTGAAAAATCACGTCACGGGGGAAATGTCCATGCTGCAATCCCTTCTCCATGCTCCTCTTAGGATTCTGGGCATGCGTACACACATGCCCAGGGAGTTTTCCAAGCCCCTAGTCCGGGAATCGAGCTGCACAGTTGGCCATGTGGAATCTAGCCATTGTAAATACTATGCCAATGGCTATTCCCAGATTTGCCTTTTAAAAACTCACTTGGTAAGGGGACCAGCAGTTGATGTAATGACTATGTCGCTGGACTCCCACATAGTTGATCATGGTTCAAGTCCCAGACCCGGTGGCTTAAACTCACGCCGGGAGTGTATGCATGCGTGCCCGAGATCCCGAGAGGAGAATGGAGGAGAAGGGACTGCGGCGTGACCATCCCCCCTGGGGGGTGATTCTCACTTTCTGTGCTTTCTGTCTCTCTGGCAAGCACACATGCCCTTACAGCAAAAACCTCTCAAAAAAAAAAAACACCTCACTTGGCTACTGTGAAGAAAATGGACTCGGACAGGACAAGAGTTCAGAGACTAAGCTGGAGACCACGTCGTGAGAAATGGTCTCCCGGACATGAAATGGTAACAATGGTAACTTAAAGGAATGAGAAACACCAGATAGCGAGGGAAGACAGCTGAGAGAAGAGGGTATTTCACAGATCACAGCCTCATTCACTGTCAGGGGAAACATGGAGAGTCGGTGTGGGTGCAGGCTGGCACATGGAGGAGCCTGCCTGAGCTGGACAGGCGCCAGGTCTGGAGCTCTGTGTGGTGGTCGGGACTCTCAGGCGGAGAGAGACCCCCAGCCTAGACGTCAGTCATCTAGAGTGTGAGGTCTGGGAACTTTCTCCGACAGGCTGATGGTCTGAAAGCCGCCTGGGCCACGCAGTCAGAGCTGACCTGGGAGGAAAGGCTCACCCTGCGCCGCCACAGCAGCCGCAACCTGCAGCTGGGCCGCTCCCCCAGGTGCTCCTTCCCTGGCTCCCAAGACGGCTCACATTCTCTCTCTACCTGAAGTTTCTAGAAGGAATGAGATTCCAGAGTGATCGATCCTGAGCCCTGAATTACAACTCCCATAGTAGTTAGAAGAGGAGAACTTGGGGAAGGACACTGAAAGGGAAGATTGTGTGTCCCATGGAAAATAGGATTTATTCCTCTTAAAAGGAGGGTAAATGGGACCCGCAGATGGCGTGGCGGTGGCATCACTGGACTCCCACATAGCCAGCCGAAGTCTGAATCCTGGCCTTGGTGGCTTGAAACTCACACTGGGCACATGTGTGCATGTGTGCCTAAGATCCCGGGAAGAGAATGAGAAAGTGGCTGCAGCATGGCTATCCCCACCAGGGGGTGACCTCTCACTCTCCCTCTCGCTGTCTCTCTCTTTCTCTCTGGCAAGTGCATGTGCCCTAAGGCAAAACTCTCTACCTCCTTGCAAAAAAAAGGAAGGTAAAAAAACACTTATTTTTGGAGACAGCAGGTGGCATGGTGGTTAGGGGCACTGGACTCCCACATGGCCAACAGGGGTTCAAGTCCCAGACCAGGAGGCTTGCTTTCTCACCTTTTCTCTCTCTCTGTCCCTCTCTAGTCAAAATTTAAATAAACAAATAGACAGAAAGACAGAAAAATAAATAAAGTTAAATAAAATACTTCTTTAAAAAAAAACATTATTTCCTAGTTCCGGTTAGGTTTAAGTGAGACTACCTCTGCCTCCACGCTCAGCACAATGCCAAGGCAGGCTGAACGTCCAGGGCATGAGGGCCACTTGCAGTTCCTAAGAGCAGACCATTATTTTTCCCCCCACAGGTTTTTGCCATAGGGCATGTGTGCTCACTGGAGAAGGAGAGAGAAACAGTGGGAGGGAAAGAAAGAAATCACCCCGACAAAGGGGATGACCACAGCACAACCCCTTCTCTTGGATTCTCCTCCCAAGATCTTGGGCATGCATATAACCAGGCTCGGCATGATTTTCAAACCACTGGGTCCAGGATTCGAACAGCAGTCAGTCATGTGGGAGTCCAGCAACATAACCACTACGCCATCTGCTGGTCCTATGCCATTATTTTTCAATCTGATGCTGTTACAAAACATTTGTAAAATTTACTCAACTTGGTTTTATTAATAATTATTTCATTTTGTTTATTAATACTTTATTTTAATTTGACCACACAGAGTTACACGACAGAGGGAAAGTGAGAAAGCAAGCCACCAGGTCCGGTATTCGAACTGCAGTTGGCCATGTGGGAGTGTCCAGCACCTTAACCACCACGCCACCTGCTGGTCCCTCAACTTGTTCTTAAAAAACTCAAAATTAAAAATAAAAAGTTGTTAAAGATTGATTTATAACACAATTTCACATGCTAGTTAACAAAAAATAATCCATCACTATTCAATAGATTTCAATTCGGGAGCAGATAACAAACACCAACATTATGAAAATCTTCAAATAATAACTAAATGGCTAAGCAGATTACTAGGCTTTCACTGTCAAAAATGCTTAGTTTTCTTTTTAGTGAGGGAACCATTTTAGAAATCACAGTGAATGAATCTTTAATACTCCAAAGACTAACAGTGAAAAAAATCTTTTTGTTTTGTTAGTTTATTCTACTTATTATTACTATGCTTTTTAAGTTTGCTACTGGACACATGTGCTCACCAGAGATAGACAGAGAGGAGAGAGGTAAAGTGGGAAAGCAAATCACCACATCTAGGACTCGAACTGTACCTGGCCATAGGGGAGACCAACACCTTAACCATGACACCACCCACCCACTGGCCCAATACTAAAAATTGTAATAATCTTGTTTTACAAAAACAACTTAGTGCTTTGGGAACAAATAAATGTTTGCATGCAGTGACATTTAAACTTTCAACTTGCACGTTAACACAAAGTATAGCACATTATCTAACGCTCCTAATACTCAGAGGATACATAATACCACCTACTGCGTAATACTTGTGCAAGGGTAGTACATTTCTTATACATAACAAGTACCCAGTAAAGGCTGGACAGATGGACATATGGGGAGACAGAAAAGTATCATCGAGTACTTATATTTATTAAGGTAAATAGACATACTCATCTTTTTTGTTATATGAAGTGACATTTACTGAGATCTTTTGTGACGCACACCGAACACAGCGATAAGAATAGGGAACGCACTCACTGAGGAAGGTAACAAATACACAGCGCCTACAGACCCTAGGACACAAGAGGTGTCCCTGCTGCTCGATGTCCTCGCTTTTCCATTTGAGAAGGTACATGACTATAAGATGATGATGCCTAGTTTTAGCTTCTTAAAATCACAAACATACAGGAGTTTATGAATATCAGGTTCATACATTACCAAACAAACGCATGCCAACACATAACAGGATGTTTCAATCCCGTTTCCAAGTCTCTCTGCGACTGGCAGTCGGTGAATAGAAAAGAGAGTAACAACAAAGGCGAGCATTCTCAATTAAAAATGTCTAAAACTGGCCTAGACGCAGTGGTGTGGCAATGGCGTAAGTACCCTGCAGAGCTGGAGGCCACAGAGCTGAAGGCAGGTTGGGACCAGGGGCTGTCTTGAAAGCATTCTAGGAACACATATGGGTGCCAGATCTTGAGTTGTGGAGCTGTAGGAAGGGGATCATGGTGTGACGAGACCCTGTCAAGGGTGTCCCTCTCTATTATGTATGCATACATACGCGTGCACACACACAGACACAAACACACACACACACACACACACACACACACACACACACAAACGTTTGCTGTTTTGTTTTAGTTATTAAGTTTTTTGCCATAGGGTACGCATGCTTGCCAGAAAAAGAGAGACAGACAACAGCTACACAGCAGCCCCTTCTCTGTTCTCAGGGTTTCGGACACACAGGCACACGTGTCCAGCATGATTCTGAACCACTGGTTCTGGGACTTGAACCATGGCTGGCCATGTGGGAATACAACTCCTTAACCACTACACCACCAGCTGGATCCCTACACATAAACTTTTTTTAAATTAACCAAACACAAGAACTTCTAATAGCTCTATATGGGTCAATCCTTATAAACATTTGAACAGTGCTTGGTATATGACAGATGCCATATTTAACAAGTACATGTTAGTGTAAATATTTTTCAAAACACATAATTTTATTAAACGTCCTTTAGAAGGAAAAATGCATTCTAAGAAAACATGGCTAACTATCAGCCGTAAGGGTAAGTAAGAGTGTGAGAACACAAGACCAGGGCATCACTCCCAACCTACTCTGCCTCTTGAAACCTTAAAGCAAAGGAGCTAGAAGAGAAGACAGAAGACAACAGGACATTCAAAGCGTCTTCTTTCTTGTTGTTTTTTCAGCATTTTTGTTTTTTTGAGAGAGATTTTGCCGAAGGGCGTGTGCACTCATCAGAGGGAAAGCAAGACATCTCCCCCAGGAGTAACAGCCACACCACAACCCGTTCTCCATTCTTCTCTCAGAATTCTGGGGATACATTTACATGCCCCTTGTGTGAGTTTCAAAGCCTCCGGTCTGGGACTCGAACCACCGTTTGCCATGTGGGAGCCCAGCGACATAAGCACTTCACCATCTGCTGGTCCCCAGAGCACCTTCTTTTAACCAGTGGCTCTTCAAGTCTGTAGCTCACCCCGAGGAGGCAGCACGTGTATCTGTTACGGGATCAGGGCAGAATGCAAAGGACCTAACAGTCTACACTAAAACCACTGAGGCCATGACACTTCGGACACAGCCAATTTTAAAAGATTTCAGAATAATCCTGAAGAGATACTGATTATCAATTACAATTAATTATAAAAGAGATACTCGTTATTAGTTAGTTATTAAGAGATACTGATATAATTATTAATTTCCTTTTGTAAATTAAAAACTTTAAATTTACCCAGTTATATCTTATCAAGAAAGAAATACATTCTCTTTTTTATGAGAGAATTTTGCTATAGGGCCCGAGTGCTCGCCAGAGAGACAGAGAGATAGAAAGTGAGAAATCATCTGCCAGCAAGGATGGCAATCAATCCCTTCTCCTTCATTCTCCTCTCGGGATTTTGGTCACACATACACATGCCTGGCATGAGTTTAAGCTGCCAAGTCCAGGACTCGAACCATAGTCGACTACACGGGAGTCCAGCGACTTAACCATTATGCTTCCTGTTGGTCCGAAGAAATGCATTCTTACTGCAAATAAACTAAATCTTCTTTTTTTTCTTTTTTTGGAGAGGTTTTTGCTATACGGCGCGTGCACTCGCCAGACAGAGACAGAGAGAGAGAAAGCGAGAAATCACCTCCCGGGGGGATAGCCACGCCGCAATCCCTTCTCCTCCATTCTCCTCTCGGGATCTTGGGCATGCACGCATGCACACATGCCTGGCGTTGAGTTTAAGCCACCGGGTCCAGGACTTGAACCACGGTCGACTACGTGGGAGTCCAGCGACATAGCCATTATACCAACTGCTGGTCCCAATAAAGTAAATCTTCATTGAAGCATGATATATGATTGTTGGTTGAAACTGATTTTGCTCTAAGAGCTACAAATTTTTTCTTGTCCACCAAAAGAGTGGCTGAAAGGCAGCCAGAACAGTCTAAACAGGCTGGTGTGTGGTCCTTTCCTAACAGTCAAAGATGGTCTGTACCCAGAACAGAAGAACAAGAGCGAAGGTTCCACGGACTCTGTGCCATAGGGGTTTTGTTGTACAGAACGTGAGACAGTAATAAAGGTATTCTTGAGAATAAAGCAGGGAGTAACTCCTCATAATCCCAGGAAGGCAACATGAAAAAGCAAAAGGAAATTCAAAATATTCAACCTCGGAGTTGCAAACATCTGCAAAGAAAAAATGAAAACTGGGCGGTTTGAGAACCCACCGTAGAGGTAGAGGGTAAGGTGTAACTGCAGCTGTTAGGGTGTGAGAGTGCCCAAAGGCAAGACTAAGGACAAGGAAACAAATACCTTGGCGTGAATAACAAGGAAATGTCTGGCAATCCTTGACAGACTCTGTTCCTCCTTTTCACTTCATGGCAGGCAAGAGTTTTTAAAGTTTATATTATGAATTTCTACCCCTGAGAGAGAGCTGTATACCCAACTCCCACTCACCACCTTCTAAAACTACCAAGATTTTGCATTTCTACTCAATGACTCCACCAATTCTTTATACTCAAAGCTAATTCTGAAAAAAATCTTCATATGAACTATGCTAAAAAAAAAATTTCCCTATTTTGTACCTATTAAAAAAAAAAAAAAACAGTAAGAAAATCCGCTGTTTCCCTTATAGGTTTACACAGGTGAACATTAAACTCTTCAGTTCAATCTACTCACCAATGCAGGGAACCACAATGCTCTCTTTTTATCCAAACTAATGTAATCTACACATACAACTTTGCCTAGGAGCTCATCGATCTGTTTCCTGTCATCCTCATCTTCATCACTGGAGGACGATGAAGACTCTTCCTCTGGTCTAGGGAGAAAAAAAAAATAAGATATTCCATTTATATTCACAAAAAATAAGCATGCCAATGATGAACATAGGTATTCCAGAACTCTACTCACATTTCCTAAAACCTACAAAATGGCTAACCTGATTTTTAAATAGCTTCTTAAATTTCTAAGTATAATATTAAGAGTTTAGCATCAGACAAAAAGCATATCAATTTCCTAAAAAAACTTTCAGATTTAGTGCACTTTTTGGACAGTCAGATGGGCATAGAGGTTACATCGCTGGACTCCCACATGGCCGACCACAGTTCGAGTCCCGAATCTGGAATCTGGAGGCTTTGAACATATGCCAGGTATGTGTGCATGCATGTCCAAAATCCAGGAGAGGAATGGAGGAGACGGGATTGCAGTGTGGCCATCACCCTGGAGGGTGATTTCTCACTTTCCCTCTCTCTGTCTCTGTCTCTCTCCACAGAGTGCCATGACCCCTAATGCAAGAAACTATAAATAAATAAATAAATATATATATATATACTTCCACATGGCTGACAGCGGTTCAAGTCCTGGACCCGGTAGCTTGAAATGTACAGCAGGCATGTATGCATGCATGCCCAAAATTCCAAGAGGAGAATGGAGAAGAAGGGACTGTGCCATCCCCCTTGAGGGTAATTTCTCACTTTCTCTCTCTCTCTTTCTCTCTCTCTCTCTCTCTCTCTGGTGAACACACATGCCATATGGCAAAAACCTAAAGAAAAAGAAAAAGAAAAAAAATAAAATAAAGTAAAATATTAATAGGGAAAATCAGAACAGAACAGCTGGTGCCCAAATCTCCAAAAAAAGTTGAGGTTTAATAAAACATCCCAATACTACACTAAAATGTACTAGATCTCAATCTCAGATTACAAGAATTCTAGAAATAGCATTTTTACATTCTCACTATAAAACTAATTTTAAAAGGGGAGAGGAAGATGTTAAGTAATGGGGGCAGGGCAGAGAGAGGAGGCAACCTGACAAGAGATCACCAATGCTATCCTTCTTATCAAATACACTCAACCTTGCTCCTCACAGAACACACAATATGGTTCTGGCACATGCACTCGCCAGAGATAGAGTGACAGAAAGCGAGAAATCATCCCCCAGGATGGATAGCCATGCCACAATCCCTTCTCCTCTCAGGATTTTAAGCACACGTGCACATGTACCCAGCACGAGTTTTAAGCAGCTAGGTCTGGGACTCGAACCATGCTCGACTCTGGAGAGTCCAGCAACGTAACCATTATGCCATCTGTTGGACCCAGAGCAGTTCTTTTGTATTGTGTTAGAAATCTCTTTCAGTAACACTGAAGATTAGACTAGTAAGATAGAAAAATGTTAACTGTCAGAAAAAAAAGTATTGGAAGCCATCAGTTCAGTGTGATAAAAAAAAATGTAGTTACAAGTGAATCTAAAGGGCCAGCAGGTGGAGTGGAGGTAATGGTTCACGTCACAAATTCGGAGGCTTGAAAATCACACAGATTTTGCATATGCGTATGTTCACAAGATCCCAAAAGGAGGATGGAGAAGGGATTGCAGTGTGGCCATTGCCACTGGGAGGCGCTTTCTCACTTTCTCTCTCTCCCCCATCTCTGTAGAGCACACATCCTATATCAAAAAAATGCCTTAAAAAAAGGCAAAAACAGATACCTATTTTGAATCTGATACTAAAAATGTCTACATCACTGCTAAACAAAATGAGATTTTTAACAACTTACTCTTCGAAACGCCCAGAATAAGACATTAGGAAATGCTGAGTAAGTACTATGTATACTCACTCTTTTTACAAAATCAAACAGAATAGCTACTACAAAAAAAACTTTTGAGGCAGCTGGCAATAACCAAGGTAAATGACTACACACACACACACACATTCATATATAAATATACACACACACATATATGTATATATGTGAATTAATAGGGTATTTTAAAACTTTAAACATGATTTTTCCATTTGGTTGACTGGGACAAATAGCTGTTCTCCAAATCTGTGTCTTTGGTACCTTCCTAAGGGGATGATAATATAAATAACACCCTTATTATTTATAGATTCCAATAAATAAGTGAGGCAAAAATTATTACAATACAGTAAATATTTTAGAGTGATTGGGTCAATCAGGTATCACTGTTTTATTTCAATGATTAGCCAAATATCTTGGAAACCATTCCCTAGAGAAGACAAAGCTTAGCACATATGCTAAGTTTGCTAGTGAGAAGTACTGTACTCCAAACAGCACTGACAGGGGTTTAATCCCTAATTGGAAAGCAGGTGAAAGGTAGCAGAAAAATCTGATAAATCTTTATATGAAGCAGACCACAAGACACTACACATACGCACCCAGCTGGGGACAGTAACGAAGACCCCACTACTGGGTTAGAAAGTTTCTCAAGGGCAATGGCTAGGTCACTCCGTTTTCTAATAACTATACAACATGATCAAATCTACAAACATAATTAATGCTTCTGCAATAAAGTCGTAGAAGACTCATTTAGCCAAAGTTATATGGATTCCCATTATACCACTATCATTAGCATGCTAGAAAGCCATAATGTCAGAAACAATACATATCAAAATCAGAAAAAGAAAGCTGGGCTTTAGCTAACAAAGTTATCTACTTCTTTCTAAAAATTATTTCTGAAGACTCAACAAATATGAAGATTTCATACTCCAAGAAGTTATATTCAAAAAATGACCTTCGTTCAGCCAGCCAACCACCCTCCAACTCGGGGGCACATCTCCGCTTTCCGCGGACAGCGTGTACTCGCAGGCTCCCATCCTTGCATTCCAGCTGTGGCCTCCTCTCTCTAGGATCTGTCCTCCTTCCTCTCTCATATTTAGCGTACTATTATCTCCATGGATATGCTGTTATTTCTGACATCTAAAAACAAAAAAATCCTTGAACCGGTATAACCCACCAGCTACTCCTACTGCCCTTGATCTTTCC